GGTTTGGGGAGTGTTTTCTGGTTTGTCTTTGCTTGGGGATTTTTATTTGCTTGCTTTGTGAAGGAGAAGAAATTTCTAAAATTATACAAGCATGATGGTTTCCAATAAAAAAGGACAGAAGTAGTCACATTGTAGATGATATTAGTATTACTTAAGGCAGTAAAGGTTTTAATTTATTACAAATGCTACCTGGAGTAAATGAACACGGGCAGGCTGATGCTACCCTGGGAAAGTGCACTCCCTGTAAGACTTCTCAGGAATTCCAGCTTCCTGACTTCTTACAGGCTGAGTTTTGAAAAGGATGAACCAGGCACAATACTTTAGGCACACTGGCCATTCCATTTCAGCTAAAGAAGCAATCACAGTGCTGAAATCAACCACAGCCTGTGAGAGCACTGCTGAATAAACAGGTGATGGAGTAATAACACACCAGGGTATCTATATTAAAGTTACTAAAGAGTTGCTGAACAACAGCTTATAGATACCTAACTTTATATTTTAACTCTGCTTTAGGCTTTCCAAAGTAAACATGAAAGTAAAGGCAGAGGTATCCCAGAAAATGGTGCATGCAACTGCACGAATATAATCTAGATATGTGCTACAGCAATGCTCATAAGCCAATTTTCATAACAGGAGCTCTGCTGATTGCCCTTGACATGGAAAATATCCTAAATTCCAAGCACAGGCTTCTTCCTCCTTTAAAAGCTTGTAGCTGTATGTTACATTGTCATCTTTATACAGTGGATTATTTTGATGAAACTATGCTTGGAATATTATGACATGAGTGAGATTCTTTAATGCATTCAATGCTATTGAATAGTGAATTATTTCCTGGGCTTGCATTCTTGATAAGTGTCAGCATAATACAAGATGGGGGAACACACAAAATGGAGTAGCTGGTATTTTAAAACACCTAGGTCAGACTGCCAAAGCCTAGAAAACAAGCCATGTAACTAAATCAGGGAACTTATATTCTTAGTTTTTTAGATTTTTAACTTATGGTTAAGTGCACGTATCATATGCCAAGCTCAGAACTGTTCTGAAGTCCCATCTGTTTGATCCTTTTCTCCTGCTTTTACTGACAGCCAGGGCTATGCCTGGATTACAGTTACTATTATGCAGAAGACTCACAATAAAACCTGACAGTATATAAACATTTATCCAAACTGTATTTTCATTAAATGGGGATTCAATCCTTCTGCTCTCATGACAGATTTTAAACGAAGCTGAGAAAACTGGTATAATTTTTTTAATCAGCTAAATGTAAAAATGGAAAATTTATGCATAAATATGAGCAAGATCACCAAGCTCAGAATTCACCAGAACAGCATGTATGCATCAAAACCAGACTGTCCAATGAAATCTGAAAACTCTGGGATTGTAACCACAGCACACTTCAGATGCTGATGTATGACCTGCTGCAATTTGGTCAACTGGAAATTATGTTTTGTTTACTGTACGTTTGTGAGTCTATTCTTTCATTCTCCACTGTCAGAAAACTTACTCAGGCTTTCTGTTGCTTGAAGGAGAGATGAAGGACAGCAAGACAAGATGAAAGGTGTATCTCATCCAACATACTCAAATCTAAACAGAGTGCATCAGAGTTCATCACCAGTGCCAAGACTTGCTATGCATACACAATTGTCTTAATGGCTTCTTCCAGAGGAGGAATTTAAAAGTACAACCCTCTTCTCCCCTCTAAAGTTTTAGCCACCTACTCAGCCAGTGTTTTCCTGTCCTACATGGGTTATCTAAAGAAAATGCAGAGACTAAAAAGGAAAAAAAATAATGTAGAAAGAATCAATCACAAAAAGAGCCCAAAAACCTCAACCCCACAGCCAAACTAAAAAATAAAAAAAAAACCAGAATGACTTGAGATGGGGGATTTAAAATAAAATCTTACAAAGAAAACTTGAACAGTTCTTTTTAAAGCCTGGATTACATAATACCCCATTAAACGCTGATGTGTCAGAGTTGACTGTGTACTTGATTTTTTTGGTGTAAATCACAAATTAAGGCACTCTCACCATTCAGCTTTAATTCTCAAGGTGGCAACATTGAAAAAAATTTAAGCATATGGAGAAGCTAAATATGAAGTTTCCCTACCAATGACCTTAAAACAAGCTCATGTTAAACCATTCACAAAAATAAACACTGAAGTCACAGCTTTAAAATAGCACAAAACATCCAGTGGATCTTGTTTGTTACCTAACCACGCAGGAGAACTCTTGCCAGTTTACATCCCAGGCAATTTTTCACCAGGAGATAGTGAATAAAATGCAGAAATTTGAATAAAAGATGGAATTACAGAATTTGAATTAAATTTAGAATAAAAATAAGTTTTTAAAAAATTAAATTCCTATGACTTCAGGAATTAAATTCCTGTGACTCCTCTGTAGGTGAACAGGAATGGAATATCCATTATCCATGATCAGGGCTCCTTCTGAACTCATCTTCTGTGTTCCCAGTGGCCTCCGGCAGCACAGCCTCCCTCCTGCCCTTGGCCAAGGGAGCACCTTGGTCCCACTCCCCACAGGGATGGGTTCAGAGCAGGGACGAGCCAGAGGCAGAGCCCCCCAACACCCCAGTGCCAACGGGACCCCTGACAGCTGTAGGCACAAGGTGGGCACGTGCCAACCCTCCAACAGCAGCACGGAGTGTGTGAGCTCTGGAAGGTGCTCGGGCTGCCCGGTGAGCCTGCTGGCACGGCCAGGGTGGGCCACGAGGCTACAGAAGAGGCCCAAGGTGTAACTCAAACATTTATTAACTGCTACCAAATCTCTCTGTCTCTTTATAATTTGCATGTTTATGCTTAGAAATGCACACACAACAAGAACAATTGCACAACTCCCTAAGGATATAATCTACTAATACCCTTCAAACCTGACTGAGTGGGATAAGTTTTTTGCTCATCCAAGGTCCTCTGTCTGCAGCTGTTCCATGTGGCAAATTCCCATTTCAGTAAATTGGTGCTCTGCTCCCAGAACAGATGCAAAATCACTCTCACAGTGAAAATATACAATGCAGCCTGATTCCAAGAACAAAGTACCATTTTAAGTCTTCTTAATTCTGTATTCAAATTATTCTTCTTGATTGCAGTGGGAATTCCATAACCCTTGTAAAAAATTGCTTTTTTACTAGTTAGAGGACAAGTACAGTAGATAAGTATTGTATTTTTCTATATGTGTACATTCTGGCTGTTATTTCTGAGCACTTTTATGGCTACAGACAGAAAAACACCTGCATCCCACTCATTACAGCACTGTGGCAAAGACACACCCAGTCTACCCAGCCAGAGATACAGCACTAAGGGTCAAATTTAAATGTTTCTCCCCATTAATGATAAACCTATCAGTATAAAAGTGATTCTGAACAAGTTGTTGCTTTCCAGTGTCCAAGGTCCTTACAAAACTACACAAAAGTACTACAACTAATCACCCTTTACATTTTAAAATGTATCTTTTGCTATATGAAAATCATTGCCTTATATGGGTCTTTTGGCGTTCTAAGTACCCACCATAAAAAAGATGACAGTTCACAACACCAGTCTGTTTAAAGAGGTTAGCTACTAAATTTATCAGCCAATTGAAAAATTCTCATATACATCCATTTTTCTCTGCTATTTTATAAGATTTTTGTTCAGTTTGAATATTCTGACTATGAGAAGCACTTAAATAATTGAGTGATGTAATTCTCTTAATAGCTCATGACATTTCTAAGGCAGACCAAAAAACTTCGTCTGCTTTGAGAAAAAAAAACCTGTGTAGTATTATGATGGAAGTAGAAAAAGACATCCATTTTCCAAAATAAATGAATCATAATATTTAATTTAAGCATGCCATAAAAAAAAATTAAGAAGGGAAAGGAATGATCACCGAACCATACACATCTGAATGGGAAAAATCACCAGTATTGCATAAAAAAGTGAAAATCTTGGAAATATTCTTCTGATGATAAGGAGAATTTAATCAATATTTAAATTCATAAATTTCCATTTTTAAGCCAGGCACATGTGACTTGGCAACTTTTTTTTTTTTCTTATTTTATTGGGACTTACCAACTCAAGTCCCAAATCCTTCAGGAAATCTTCTGTCCTGGACACTTTTTATTATTTATGCTAGAGTTCTCCATACATTTAGGTGTTCAGATTGGAACTTGGGCATTTGAGTGTCTCAGATACACCTTTTGTGTGCCATACACAGTATCTAGGAGTAAATTAGATCACAAGTAGTCCAAAATGAAAATGTGTTCTTCTGTTTAAAAGATTGCTTAAATAATTGGGGATCTGGTGGACATGTGTGTTAAAATCCTCACCTTTATGAAGATACTGCAGTATTCCTTCTGCATATCACTCCTTTTTACTGGCCTCTATGGCTAACTAATAATAATAGTAGTAATAATAATAAAGTGATCTGGTTTTCTTTTCTGATATTTTTTCAATACATTCAAGACGGCCTTGCATAACAGCAGAAGTTCAGGAGTATAAAAGTGTACAACAGCTATAGAGCAGCTTCAGATGGCTGTCATAGGCCATTTTATCTTTCAGTAATTGAACTTAAGAAATCCTAATTCTAAGAACTACTAGCCCTTCCTCTCTCTCAATTAACAGTACATACAGCTATTGTCAAATACTCTAGCTGGAGTACCCAAAATACAGGAATGCTTCTGGTACGCAGGAGAATGTAGGACTTTCATATATAAAAAACCCAACAAAATGAAACAGCAATCCTTACATGATTAGAAAAAGAATATTGAAGATTTTTCTTATCTATGGAAAGATCAAAATATTGTTTCTTGTATCTACATATTTCTATTTAAGATTACCACAGACTAGTAAAAAACTCACCACCTGCAAGGGATGCAGTCAAATTGGAGGAAAAAAACTCCATTGCTTTGCAACATTCTACACCTGAATGTTTTTGGGGTTTTTTTTTTTTTTTCCCTAATGCTTCCTACCTCAGGCAGAAGACCTTTCTGGCACTTTTTGGCAGGTGACTTACCGGCAGTGTTTGTGGGATCCCGTTAAGGTTTCGATCACAAAGCATTCCCCTTCGTTGAGACAATATGCAAGGTCCTTGTCTTTGCATGGCTTAAAGTGCTCAGAGCGCTCCGTGGAATACGTTGTGGTGTCTGAGGAGAAAACAGGCAAAAGAAAGAAATGCTGTAAGGAAAAATACTGGGTATTCCTACAGTACATGAGAAATTAATTTGATCATACTGGGCTCAGTAACAGCAAACACAGACTAAAAGAAATGGAGAACACAGGGCATGCCAACCTCCCTTTGACTGCAGCATTATTTGCAGTCAGGTTTCTTAAAAGATTCATAAGATATATCAGCAGAAAAACAAACCAGACTGCAGAAAAGTTGGAGTACAATCTCAACCACAACCAATTTCCAAGGTTTGCCTGCTCAAATGTAAAGACACCTACTTTGCATCCTTTAACCAGAACAATGCTTTCATATTACTACACCAAAATATGGTTTGAAATAAGACAATTTTTTTTCAGAAAAACCAAGTAGATTAAAAAAAAAAAAATCAAAACCAAAAAACAACGAAAACCCGCTACAGTGAAAATGGAAAAAAAAAAAAAAGCCAAACACCCAAGGTCAACGCTACTTTGAATCACCAGTCCCCAAAAAACGGCCTAAAACTCAAACACAAGCAATGTAGCAGTGATTGTGTCATTTCACACAGATCATCTGTGGGTGTATGTAAGCCCACCCCCAAAACACAGTTAAAGGCTTGATTACAGGTAGAACTGTTGGCTGCACCTTTGGAATATTTAGTTAGATAATTAGATTTGGAATAGAATGGCAATGTGTCAGGGTGCACTATCATTTCTAGCTTCCAATAAAACTCTTTAACCTTTCCAATCCAGTCGGATTAATCAAGAATAAAGTGAAATTTTCAGAGGAAGATGCCTGACTGACAGATATTTTAATTTTCTTCACTGTGACACGGCTTTGTCTAACGAAGTGTGATTTTCAAAGTAGATTATTATTTCCACAGCGCCATGATTTAGTCTTAATATTCAATCTTAATTCAAAAAGTTTAAATTCCTAATCACTTTGCAGGACCTGATATACACTGCAATGGTAAGAGAACATTTCATTGTGTAGCATACAGCCTGTCACAAAATGTTATTACATAGACTGCTGTCAAATAAATGAAGCAGTGCTCAACAGACACAGAACCCTGCAAACTCAAAATTATGCAAACACTTCAGCTTGGTTTTGCTCCTAACTAAATACACACCAAACTAACACCAAAGTTGAAAACCAAAATACTGAACCTGTAACAATATACCTGTAACTACAGTTCTGCAAGAAAATTCAGATAATCCCAAAAAATTGTCCAAATTGCTCTTTTTGTTCTCAGTATATTTCTAATAAAACACCTCTACAAGTTTTCCTTATATGCAGACTGAATGACAGAAGATAAATAAAACACATTTGAAAAAAGTAAGAGAATCCACACCCTATTCTTTGTATGCAACACTTGATTTTTCCTCTCCAGAGATCATGTTGTAGTTTAGCATTTTCAGTGGAGAGAAAAAATATCCTGGGAATAAACTCTAACAGTCTTTCCTCAAATGTTTTTACAGACTCAGAACAAAAGGCTGTGCCACTGTCCCCAGTAGCAGCACTTACAAAAAAGATGCAGGCTAAATAGAAACTATGTTTTTAATGTTTGCAAGCAAATCCTGAGCTGAAATGCATCAAGTGGAATTTTGGAGACAATACAAAATGTTTATAGATGCAAACAGTGACTAGCATCTCACTGATGGCATTTCAAGATTGATCAGCTTTAATGTAAAAAAAAAACCAAAACTCCTCACATAGGAAAGAGGTAGCCCAGTTACTTTTTAAGGTCAATTTTACCCAGGAGCACTATAATGACCATTTAAAACTTGATTAGGCAAGAAATAACTATAAACCTGAGTAACCAGTTCTATTTCTACCCCTTTTAAATATGGAAAACTGAAGGTAACATTATTTGAAAGCACTCCTGATAATTACAAAGGTAAGTAAAACTGTGTGATGAGCAGAAACTCAGCTTGATGCAGCTGTAGGGAATACAACACTTGCATTTCTGAGCCTGCTCTGAAGAAGCAATCTGTGCAAACAGCTTTATGAAGGCAGCTGCAATACCCAGCCCAAAGGAATCTGAGGTGCTCCCAAAGGACAGGAGCAGAACGAGGGGGACCCAGCGTGGCTGAGGCAGTGACGCAGTGAATTCTCAGGGCACGGCTTTTGAAGTGCAGCAGACTCCTCTTCCACCATCATTAAATCAAGAACACCTTGCCAAGGTCAGCATTTTAAAGTTTTAGATGAAATAGATTCTTTAGAAGTTTTGTTCTGCTTTAATTATTCCTCTGTTTAATATTAATCAACCCTCGTGTTTTGTTTATAAATGGGTATAAATTGCAATACTTAATTTTCTCCACCTGGACACAATCTCTACCTTTTCTTTTGTGCTTTGTTCCTCACCTTCCAAATTAAGTGCAACAGTTGTAGGTAACAATGATGTTGGCAGCTCCTTATGGCAGCCTGGGATTGCACTCCTAATGTTGAAAAGTACCCAAGAATTGGTAACTTTTTCATTTTTAAATAAATAACCTCATTAAAAGTCACTTTTCAGTTAGTCTTTTCCAGCTTGGAATATCTGTGCAAGTCTAAGCAGGTTGATGCACATGGACCCCTCACAGAGCTGAGCCCTGCACAGATCTCTGGCTGCAGAGATCAGCTGTCCGAGCTCAAAGGTCATGCACCAACATTCCCAAGCTGTGTCACTCACTGATACCCCAGACATCCCCGGAGCTGCTGGGTACTTCCTGCTGGAGAGAATTCACATATCCCATAACTGACTTTCATAGAAGTTATAATCCTGCTGTTGTTTTATGTTGCACTCACAAACTCTGCTACAGCTTCATTAAATATTGACAGAAACAAAACCTAAAAACTGGTTCTAAACATAACTGCAAAAAGTACAAAACAACAGAAAACACTGTAGAGACTACACAGTTTTCCTGATTCTTTATCTAATAAATAATAAATCCTCTTGTCTCTTGTTTTATTTTACTCCTAACCAAATATTGAATTGACTTTTCCATGGTGGAATTGTCCTTCATAGTTTCAGAAGCCTGGTAAATAAACACCATTATATTGTGACGTTTGACTTTTTAATGATTTTTTTTTAAAGAACTAATAAGGCATTCAAAAAAATGAGTAATACAGCTCCTTGATTTATTTTTAGTCTTTGGATGTGGTAACAGTCCCAAATGTTTATAAGTAACAAAGGGGAATTTCTGTTAAGCATTCAGATGTCACTGAATTCAGTGCACATTCCTTAAGGTATTTTTTCATTTTTTAAATTGCCATGTGTCCAGGTGTTTCATGCAAAAGCAGCAAGGGATATTGATTTCTTCTGAAATCATTCCAACTAAGTTGGAAAGATTCTAGGCACTCTTGTTCTTATTTTTCTTGCCTTACTCTATCAGCAAAGGTTTACACATGATTCCCATACTCTAAAAATTGATATATCATTTCCAACCCTCAGTTACCACTGTGTAATCAAATGAACCAGAATTTCATTCACATTTCAAGACCTTTTATAGAGTTGGTTTCTAAAAACATTCAGTCTTTGGGACTGTTGAAAAAATCAGTAGGAAGTTTACAGATACTATTTTATTTTGTTTAGGTCTAAAAAAGTGTTAGTGAAGTTGTATTCCTGCCTCATTAGTGTATGTCATCATATTTGTGCCAGCACAGGGTGGCTCATTAGAGCTGATTTTTGAGTAACCTTCAAGGCATGATGTGGTTACCAGAAATGCTGTTTGCTCCTTCAAGGCTACCACATTCAGTGTTTCCAATACTATGCCCTGATACTAATATATCTAACTGCCAGGGAAAAAAACGCAGGAAAAGAAAGAATGCAAGATGTAAAATATCCTGGGAAACAGCAGCATTCAGGGCAGGTGCTTCTGCACAGATTGCAGCAGCAGCCATTCCCATCCATCACATCTGTCCTGCAGCATTCCAGCTTCAGAAACAGATTTTACTGGTTACATCTCAAACAAAGCAAATTTCCTATGCAACCTGTAAATGATACCCACAATCCCTCTCACTGTGAACATTTTTTCTAGGCAGACAACATTAGCTGCTGTAGGGAGAAAAATGACCCAGGAGAACGAGATGGAAAGGCCTTGTAAAACTTTTGTGAACTAGCAGAGGCACCCAAACTCTGCAGCTGCAGGTTCATTAACACAGTAAGTCAAACGCTTGGTGCATTTCCACCAAGGAATATTAACACATGGTTCCTTTTAACATCAGAGCTCACACACTAAAAGACTTTTTAAAATGCTGCATATTTTGACTACCAGTGGGTATTACCAGCTTTACACATTCAGTATCAACACGCAAACTGGCTTTTCCTTTATCTTTTTATCCATTTATAACTGATCATCTCCCAGAGAACCATTACTTACCAAGGCACCAAAAAAACAAGATGCTTATTTTAAATCCCTGATCTCATTTCTAAATGCACTGCAAAAAATAAGCCAGATACAGGCAACTGAATTGCCTCTGAAAATATAACTCCAGCTATCAAAAAAATACCTTCTTAAGAAACACCAACATTTTTAATGATATATTCCTGTATCACTACTGCATTCTATGAAGAAGGCAGCATAAAAAGTCAGTTAATAGCATACAGGGAGTTAAATTTCATGTTTGGTGAAGTCAGTGGCAAAATATTTACAATGATTCAGTATAAGCAGGGCTCCCTGAAGTTCCTATAGGGTCATCTTGTGCTTCTCTCTCCTGGTATCTCAGAATTATCCATGGTATCCCTAACTAAAAAGTGTCTTGCACAAAAAAATGAAACTTACACACAGAATAGTTTAGATGTGATTTTGTTTATTCACTTACTAAACCTTAAAATTATAGAACCTAAAATTATTACTCCTGTGCTTTTAGAAGTACCATGGTTTAGAAAGGTTATTTACCTGTTTAGTGCTTCCCCTATTCCCTCTCCAGTTAGAAACACAAAAGGCAAAGATCACCGGTCGAGATAAGAGCGATTTACCGGAAACAGCGAGGAGAAAAGAAAGGGAACAGTAACAGCAA